AGACAGAGGGTATGTGTGGGAATAGATAGACAGAGGGTATGTGTGGGAATAGATAGACAGAGGGTATGTGTGGGAATAGATAGACAGAGGGTATGTGTGGGAATAGATAGACAGAGGGTATGTGTGGGAATAGATAGACAGAGGGTATGTGTGGGAATAGATAGACAGAGGGTATGTGTGGGAATAGATAGACAGAGGGTATGTGTGGGAATAGATAGACAGAGGGTATGTGTGGGAATAGATAGACAGAGGGTATGTGTGGGAATAGATAGACAGAGGGTATGTGTGGGAATAGATAGACAGAGGGTATGTGTGGGAATAGATAGACAGAGGGTATGTGTGGGAATAGATAGACAGAGGGTATGTGTGGGAATAGATAGACAGAGGGTATGTGTGGGAATAGATAGACAGAGGGTATGTGTGGGAATAGATAGACAGAGGGTATGTGTGGGAATAGATAGACAGAGGGTATGTGTGGGAATAGATAGACAGAGGGTATGTGTGGGAATAGATAGACAGAGGGTATGTGTGGGAATAGATAGACAGAGGGTATGTGTGGGAATAGATAGACAGAGGGTATGTGTGGGAATAGATAGACAGAGGGTATGTGTGGGAATAGATAGACAGAGGGTATGTGTGGGAATAGATAGACAGAGGGTATGTGTGGGAATAGATAGACAGAGGGTATGTGTGGGAATAGATAGACAGAGGGTATGTGTGGGAATAGATAGACAGAGGGTATGTGTGGGAATAGATAGACAGAGGGTATGTGTGGGAATAGATAGACAGAGGGTATGTGTGGGAATAGATAGACAGAGGGTATGTGTGGGAATAGATAGACAGAGGGTATGTGTGGGAATAGATAGACAGAGGGTATGTGTGGGAATAGATAGACAGAGGGTATGTGTGGGAATAGATAGACAGAGGGTATGTGTGGGAATAGATAGACAGAGGGTATGTGTGGGAATAGATAGACAGAGGGTATGTGTGGGAATAGATAGACAGAGGGTATGTGTGGGAATAGATAGACAGAGGGTATGTGTGGGAATAGATAGACAGAGGGTATGTGTGGGAATAGATAGACAGAGGGTATGTGTGGGAATAGATAGACAGAGGGTATGTGTGGGAATAGATAGACAGAGGGTATGTGTGGGAATAGATAGACAGAGGGTATGTGTGGGAATAGATAGACAGAGGGTATGTGTGGGAATAGATAGACAGAGGGTATGTGTGGGAATAGATAGACAGAGGGTATGTGTGGGAATAGATAGACAGAGGGTATGTGTGGGAATAGATAGACAGAGGGTATGTGTGGGAATAGATAGACAGAGGGTATGTGTGGGAATAGATAGACAGAGGGTATGTGTGGGAATAGATAGACAGAGGGTATGTGTGGGAATAGATAGACAGAGGGTATGTGTGGGAATAGATAGACAGAGGGTATGTGTGGGAATAGATAGACAGAGGGTATGTGTGGGAATAGATAGACAGAGGGTATGTGTGGGAATAGATAGACAGAGGGTATGTGTGGGAATAGATAGACAGAGGGTATGTGTGGGAATAGATAGACAGAGGGTATGTGTGGGAATAGATAGACAGAGGGTATGTGTGGGAATAGATAGACAGAGGGTATGTGTGGGAATAGATAGACAGAGGGTATGTGTGGGAATAGATAGACAGAGGGTATGTGTGGGAATAGATAGACAGAGGGTATGTGTGGGAATAGATAGACAGAGGGTATGTGTGGGAATAGATAGACAGAGGGTATGTGTGGGAATAGATAGACAGAGGGTATGTGTGGGAATAGATAGACAGAGGGTATGTGTGGGAATAGATAGACAGAGGGTATGTGTGGGAATAGATAGACAGAGGGTATGTGTGGGAATAGATAGACAGAGGGTATGTGTGGGAATAGATAGACAGAGGGTATGTGTGGGAATAGATAGACAGAGGGTATGTGTGGGAATAGATAGACAGAGGGTATGTGTGGGAATAGATAGACAGAGGGTATGTGTGGGAATAGATAGACAGAGGGTATGTGTGGGAATAGATAGACAGAGGGTATGTGTGGGAATAGATAGACAGAGGGTATGTGTGGGAATAGATAGACAGAGGGTATGTGTGGGAATAGATAGACAGAGGGTATGTGTGGGAATAGATAGACAGAGGGTATGTGTGGGAATAGATAGACAGAGGGTATGTGTGGGAATAGATAGACAGAGGGTATGTGTGGGAATAGATAGACAGAGGGTATGTGTGGGAATAGATAGACAGAGGGTATGTGTGGGAATAGATAGACAGAGGGTATGTGTGGGAATAGATAGACAGAGGGTATGTGTGGGAATAGATAGACAGAGGGTATGTGTGGGAATAGATAGACAGAGGGTATGTGTGGGAATAGATAGACAGAGGGTATGTGTGGGAATAGATAGACAGAGGGTATGTGTGGGAATAGATAGACAGAGGGTATGTGTGGGAATAGATAGACAGAGGGTATGTGTGGGAATAGATAGACAGAGGGTATGTGTGGGAATAGATAGACAGAGGGTATGTGTGGGAATAGATAGACAGAGGGTATGTGTGGGAATAGATAGACAGAGGGTATGTGTGGGAATAGATAGACAGAGGGTATGTGTGGGAATAGATAGACAGAGGGTATGTGTGGGAATAGATAGACAGAGGGTATGTGTGGGAATAGATAGACAGAGGGTATGTGTGGGAATAGATAGACAGAGGGTATGTGTGGGAATAGATAGACAGAGGGTATGTGTGGGAATAGATAGACAGAGGGTATGTGTGGGAATAGATAGACAGAGGGTATGTGTGGGAATAGATAGACAGAGGGTATGTGTGGGAATAGATAGACAGAGGGTATGTGTGGGAATAGATAGACAGAGGGTATGTGTGGGAATAGATAGACAGAGGGTATGTGTGGGAATAGATAGACAGAGGGTATGTGTGGGAATAGATAGACAGAGGGTATGTGTGGGAATAGATAGACAGAGGGTATGTGTGGGAATAGATAGACAGAGGGTATGTGTGGGAATAGATAGACAGAGGGTATGTGTGGGAATAGATAGACAGAGGGTATGTGTGGGAATAGATAGACAGAGGGTATGTGTGGGAATAGATAGACAGAGGGTATGTGTGGGAATAGATAGACAGAGGGTATGTGTGGGAATAGATAGACAGAGGGTATGTGTGGGAATAGATAGACAGAGGGTATGTGTGGGAATAGATAGACAGAGGGTATGTGTGGGAATAGATAGACAGAGGGTATGTGTGGGAATAGATAGACAGAGGGTATGTGTGGGAATAGATAGACAGAGGGTATGTGTGGGAATAGATAGACAGAGGGTATGTGTGGGAATAGATAGACAGAGGGTATGTGTGGGAATAGATAGACAGAGGGTATGTGTGGGAATAGATAGACAGAGGGTATGTGTGGGAATAGATAGACAGAGGGTATGTGTGGGAATAGATAGACAGAGGGTATGTGTGGGAATAGATAGACAGAGGGTATGTGTGGGAATAGATAGACAGAGGGTATGTGTGGGAATAGATAGACAGAGGGTATGTGTGGGAATAGATAGACAGAGGGTATGTGTGGGAATAGATAGACAGAGGGTATGTGTGGGAATAGATAGACAGAGGGTATGTGTGGGAATAGATAGACAGAGGGTATGTGTGGGAATAGATAGACAGAGGGTATGTGTGGGAATAGATAGACAGAGGGTATGTGTGGGAATAGATAGACAGAGGGTATGTGTGGGAATAGATAGACAGAGGGTATGTGTGGGAATAGATAGACAGAGGGTATGTGTGGGAATAGATAGACAGAGGGTATGTGTGGGAATAGATAGACAGAGGGTATGTGTGGGAATAGATAGACAGAGGGTATGTGTGGGAATAGATAGACAGAGGGTATGTGTGGGAATAGATAGACAGAGGGTATGTGTGGGAATAGATAGACAGAGGGTATGTGTGGGAATAGATAGACAGAGGGTATGTGTGGGAATAGATAGACAGAGGGTATGTGTGGGAATAGATAGACAGAGGGTATGTGTGGGAATAGATAGACAGAGGGTATGTGTGGGAATAGATAGACAGAGGGTATGTGTGGGAATAGATAGACAGAGGGTATGTGTGGGAATAGATAGACAGAGGGTATGTGTGGGAATAGATAGACAGAGGGTATGTGTGGGAATAGATAGACAGAGGGTATGTGTGGGAATAGATAGACAGAGGGTATGTGTGGGAATAGATAGACAGAGGGTATGTGTGGGAATAGATAGACAGAGGGTATGTGTGGGAATAGATAGACAGAGGGTATGTGTGGGAATAGATAGACAGAGGGTATGTGTGGGAATAGATAGACAGAGGGTATGTGTGGGAATAGATAGACAGAGGGTATGTGTGGGAATAGATAGACAGAGGGTATGTGTGGGAATAGATAGACAGAGGGTATGTGTGGGAATAGATAGACAGAGGGTATGTGTGGGAATAGATAGACAGAGGGTATGTGTGGGAATAGATAGACAGAGGGTATGTGTGGGAATAGATAGACAGAGGGTATGTGTGGGAATAGATAGACAGAGGGTATGTGTGGGAATAGATAGACAGAGGGTGTGTGTGGGAATAGATAGATAGAGGGTATGTGGGGGAACAGATAGAGGGTGTGTGTGGAGATAGAGGGTATGTGGGGGAATAGAGAGATAGAGGGTATGTGTGGGAATAGATAGAGGGTGTGTGGGGGGATAGAGAGATAGAGGGTGTGTGGGGATAGATAGATAGAGGGTATGTGTGGGAATAGATAGAGGGTGTGTGGGGGGATAGAGAGATAGAGGGTGTGTGGGGATAGATAGATAGAGGGTATGTGTGGGAATACAGAGCACAGGTAATGTACGGTTTCCTGTTGTAGCCTGTCAAGTGACTTTCCTACCATGCTCACAATATGTTTGTGTTGATTTCGATTAATTCGGGAGGAGTTAAAATCTCGAATGCAAGAAATCTTCTATCAGCTTCCCTCAGCATTCCCGCAGCTCCTGAGATTTTATGGAAAAGAAAGAAAGGTTATTTTGATTGCTCAACAAAACGTCCATTTTCTTAAAGTGAAGGTGGTTAGCGAAAGCCAGGGCGTAGCTGTGTGGACGTGTGATCACCCGACCTGTGTTGTATCCTTAGATCACGATCCTGGAAGCCAGTAACCGGGTCGGAGGACGCATCTTGACCCACCGAGAAGGCGGCTGGTATGCGGAGCTGGGAGCCATGCGTCTGCCCACAGAGCACAGGTAATGTACGGTTTCCTGTTGTAGCCTGTCAAGTGACTTTCCTACCATGCTCACAATATGTTTGTGTTGATTTCGATTAATTCGGGAGGAGTTAAAATCTCGAATGCAAGAAATCTTCTATCAGCTTCCCTCAGCATTCCCGCAGCTCCTTTGTGTTAGCTGGACCGCTGTCTGCGTTCAGGTGTGATACACGAGGCCTTATGTCGGTCCAAGTTTGTGAAGGCTGCTAACGCTAACACCGCAGCGCTCAGCTCCTTGGAGGAGGGCTTGGCCATTAACCCACCTGGGTGCCGTACAGAAGGGTTACCAGGTAGGGTTAAAGAAAAAAAACCCAAACTGGACACACTTGATCGGGGGAGGGACCGGCTGAGAGAGGAGCAGGGCTGGTTGGGAGGAAGGAGGGGGGCCGGAAAGCTGGACTTGGGAGTGGGGGGCTCCCCACGCCGATTGCGGGCCCCCCTCTCCCAGCCACTCCCTCGCCCCGGCCAGGCTTCCATCCGGCGCCCAGCCGGCGAACCAGAAAACACCGGACATTGCACGTGTCTGCTATTTTCTGAATTTTTCCCATGTTTCTGTTAGTCTGTAACCGACAGTTGTATTAGTGAAATGTTGTTAAGCTTGCTTGATTTTTCTTCATGATCATGGGCGGGGGCGTGGAAGGCTGGTGGCTGCGTCTAGACTGGCATGATTTTCCAGAAATGCTTTTAACAGCGACTAGTCCTGCAGCACGTTGGAGATGAACAAAAGCTGTCGCTGGGATCCTGCACAGCCCGCTCCCTCAGATGACTGGAGTGAAGGGGTCCAGGTTGCCAAATAAATAGCAGAGAAAGAGGGAAAAATAGGGGGGGGGAATTGCCAGCCTGTCCACGCTAAATGAAGCGGATGGCGCGGGTTCAGAGTGCTCTGAGGTGCCCGGTGCTTGGCTCTGTACGTCTGTCAGACGCGGACTGTAGCGGGTCACCCCCACACCCTCGGACACACCCGAAACAGGGAGTGGCTCTCCCAGTGCAAGAAGTAATTTCCCATTCTGGTATTCCCCCTCCCTTCCCATCACTGTTGGAGACTAGCCACGCCCTGCGTTCACACTCCCATCTCTGTACCTTTCCTTTTTTTTTTCCGTACGGCCTCTGAGGAAGTGAGTTGTCGCTCACGAAAGCGTCTGCCCTGCTCGGTGTGTTGCTCTTTGTAATCCCGCTGGACTCCTTGTGGCTGGGGGGGGGGGGGGCTCCCCCGGCGGCCGCTCGGATACCTCCCTTTTGACGCTTTCTCGCTCCTTCAGGATCGTGCGCGAATTCATCCGCCAGTTCAATCTTTTGCTGAGCACGTTCTACAGCAGCCACAACAACGCCTGGTATCTGGTGAACAACGTCCGGGCCAGGCATATCGACGTGGAGAAAAATCCCGACATCTTGAACTACCCGGTGCGTCCGGAGGAGAAGGGCAAATCCGCCATCGAGCTTTATAATCAGACGCTGGACAGGGTACGGACTCGGGCATGGGGGTTATGTCAAAAGCCAGCCTGCACTCAGAGAGCTAACGAGGGACTTATTTGCATGAGTTGCAATCTCATTTGCATATTTTCTGCCGATCTGTTTTTGCACTGGGGATTTTTGCGCAAAAACAAGCCGACGGGATGTTTTCTTTTTGTGCAAACCCCTCTTTACAAATGAGTCCCTCATTAGCATAATTTTTGCCACGAAAACTTGTCGTGTAGATGTCGCCTTCCTAGGATGGTGGCCTTAAACCCAAAGCTGCCCCCATCCACACACAAAACCTGCCAGTTGACGTACCCTTCAACCCAGGGCTGGGGTCATAGGCCTAACCGAGGGTGTGTTGTAGCTACGGGTCTGTGTTTGGTTGAGTTAATGTAACCACCAGTGGGCAGATCTGAACCTGGAACCACTGGAGCTTAGTGTACGACAGTGTTTCTTAAACTGTGTGCCGCGGAGAACAACAGAATTCAAAATGGCCACCCTTAAAGGGGCAGGTGACTTTTTTTTTTGCTCAATAACTTTCCCCCGACTCTTTTTCTTCTGAATAACTTCCCCCCCCCCACCCTTTTCCCCCCAACCTCTTTTTTTTTCCTTAACAAAAAATCCTTGGTGTTCCCCATTAAAAAAAAATTTTATTTGGTGTTCCTCGGTCTTAAAAAGTTTAAGAAACACTGTTGTAGGAGCTTCTACAGCTTCAGCGATAAAGCCAGCTGGCTCTCTGAGTAGGTTGTGGAGCTGCCTTGTTCTTATCGCCCACCTATCATAGCCGCCGCACGGCTGGTATGGTTTTGGTTGGGTTAAAGGCACGTGGCTAATTTTGAAAATCCCAGAACTCTCCTCGCTGCCTTTTCCGACACTGGTTTCAAAATCTGGCGCCTTTTCTCACTGCGAGGATGTGTCTACACTACCGCCAAGGTCTTCTCCGCTGAGAGTTCACCCACCAGCATAATTAAGCCACCCTGTGCTGCCTACAGATCACTGTCCACACCTGTGCTTATGTTAGTTTTTTCACCTCCTGGACTGACAAAAGTTTGATCAATTAAAGCTCTAGTGTAGCTGTACCCAGTGTTCCCCGTAAGCTGAGCACTTGGACGGCCACTCAGGAGAGTTTCAAATGCCGCCCAGCTGATTAGCACAGTGCCCACCGCCTGCAATGTGAGTTTCTCTGGGTGGTGCACATCTTCACCTGCCTTGGTGCAAGTCACAAAATTTATTCTGCACATAGATGAGGGCCCATGAGAGGGAATGTTGGACATAGCCTTGACCTAGTCACTGTATTGTTTATAAAACCAGACTGAAAGCAAGCTTGGTCATTTGGAGAACTGCGGGAATGGAAAACAAACAAAAAAATATCCCTCCCGTCTCCAGACCTTATGGACAACTCTTTCACCGGAGCTGTTGTGTTATGGCTTGTGGCGATAGCTGTGTTTTATGAAGAGAGATTAAAGAGACGGGGGCTTTTCAGCGTAGAAAAGAGGGGACTCATGGGGAGGATTCGATCGAGGTCTATAAAATCATGACGGATTTGGAGAAAGTGAACAAGGAAAAGTTATTTACGTGTGCTCATAATATACGAAATACGAGGTCACCAAATGAAATTAATCGGTGGTATTAAAGTAAGTATAAAGAAGTGTTTCTTTATGCAGCGCACAGCCAACCTGTGGAACTCCTAGCCACAAGAAGGCGAGGACTTTAACAGGGTTCAAAAAAGAGCTAGATACATTCATGGAGGCCAGGTCCAGCAATACTGTGGGCTAGATGGCCCATTGGTCTGACACAATGTGGCCATTCTCATGTTCTTATGGCACATGTCCCAGGATGGTGGCAAATCGGGAATACCGCCGATCTGCCAAGGGGCAGCCCCGGCTGTGGTTCACACGACTGCTTTCTTGCTTGCCCCCCAGGTGACCACAGACTGCAAAGTTTTGAAAGAGAAATACGACTCCTTTTCCACCAAGGTAAGTGATGCCAGCCGGCACTTTGTGCCTCACTCCCCAAAGCCGCGTGGGTCATCACAGGGCCTAGCTTACCTTCCCCAGTGGTATCCCGGGTTTGTTTGAGACCGAGGAAGGCTGGGAGTAGAAATGAGAGAGCTAGAAACAAAGGGTTACAAGACCCCCCCAAAAAAGCATACCATGCAACACTGAGTGTACCGTCCAACGGCACACCCGCTACCATGATCTCTGCCAGCCAGATCCCTCTGCTGCAGATATTGGCCAAACTACACAGTCCCTATGAGAAAGGACAAACGGACACAAATCAGACATTAGAAAGGGTCGCGCGCACACACCTGGGGGTGGGAGACATTTTAGCCTGCTGGAGCCCTCATCCGTGCATTTAAAAATAGCCGTTCTTCCACAAAAGAGCGTCCCCAGCCAACCACACAGAGGCCGTGTCCAGACTCAGGGGTTTTTTCGGGAAAAGTAGCCTTTTCCCGAAAAAACTTCCCCTGCGTCCAGACTCAAGCCGCGTTCTTTCGAAATTATTTCGAAAGAACGCGGCTTTTCTTTCGATGGCGGTAAACCTCAATTTACGAGGAAGAATGCCTTCTTTCGAAAGTTCCTCTTTCGAAAGAAGGCGTTCTTCAATGTAAAGAGGCCGTCTTCGAAAGAGAGCATCCAGACTCGCTGGGTGCTCTCTTTCGAAAAAGCAGATTTCTCTTTCGAAAGATCCGCCTGCAGTCTAGACGCGATCTTTTGAAAGAGGCTCTTTCGAAAGATGCTTTCGAAAGAGCCTCTTTCGAAAGAAGCCTGCAGTCTAAACATAGCCAGAGAGAGAGGGCGCAAAATTGATATTCATCTGTAAAGTTTATACTTCAACAAAGTCGTTCGTCTGCAAATTTGGGCTGGATCCAAGACAGGAGCTGGATGTCCCATTATAAAGCCAGCCCTCCCTGCATTTCACCCCACTTTTGTACATCAGAAGCTAAGCCTCTGGCCACTTAATTACCCTCATTAGCACCTGAAGAAGTGCGTTTTGCCCACGAAAGCTCATGATAATAACTAGATTTGTGTTAGTCTCTCAGGCTAACACTGCAGGCGTCTTGCACAAGAAGCTTTTTGCGGAAGAGCTCTTCCACAAACACTGCTTGCACAAGAGTGCATCCAGACTGCCAAAGCGCATCGGAAAAGCCATGCGCCTTTGCGCAAAAGCGCATCCGGACTGCGTGGACGCTCTCACACAAGAAAGCACTGATGCTTTCACAGGGCCCCTGGGTTTCTTCTGATAGGCTGTTTTTGCGCAAAACCCCCTGTTTCCCATCCACACACACCTTTTGGCGCAAGAGCTCTTGCACAAAAAGGCGCTATTCCTTGTAGAAAGAGGAATACTTACCCTGGAAAAAAAAAACCTCTGTCCTGTCGATTCACTGTCAATTTTCAAAACACACTTGAGGTATGGACACTCTGCGGGTTTTTGCACAAAAACCCTGCAGTGTAGACAGCCTACAGAGCTACAGGACTCATGCCTTAAAAATCTGCTAGCGTTCTTTGACAGGGGTCAACAAACATGTGGACCAGGGGGATCCCGTGGATGTAGTGAACTTAGATTTCCAGAAAGCCAAAGGCTCTTAAGTAAAGTAAGTTGTCATGGGATAAGAGGGAAGGTCCTTTTATGGACTGAGAACTGGTTAAAAGACAGGAAACAAAGGGTAGGGATAAATGGTCAGTTTTCTGAAAGGAGAGAGGTAACTAGTGGTGTCCTCCAAGGGTCAGTCCTGGGACCAGTCCTTTTCACCTTCTTCACCCCTAGAGAAAGGGGTAAACAGTGAGGAGGCAAAATGTGCAGATGAAACCAAACGGCTCAAGAGAGTTAACACCAAAGCCAACTGCGAAGAGTTTCAAAAAGATTCTCCCCAAACTAAGCAGTTGGGCAACAAAAAGGCAAATGAAATTGAATGTTGAACAATGTAAAGTCCTGCCCATTGGAAAACATCCCAACGAGACATGCAATATGAGGGGGACTTTTCTGCAGATGCCGTACATGGTCCTCTTCATCGATAAGTATTCGGTCACGCGGCACACCATTAACCTGTGGAACTCCTCGCCAGAGGAGGTTGTGGAGACCAGGCCTTGAACAGGGTTAAAAAAAAAGCTAGATACATGTTAGCCAGGATAGGTAGGGACAGTGGCCCTGGCCTCTGTCTGAAAATGGACGACAGGGGAGAAATCACGTAATGATTCCCTGTTCTGTTCACTCCCTCTGGGGCACCTGGCGTTGACGACTATGGCCGTTCTAATATTCTTATGTTTTTCTTATGTAAGTAGCCCATAAGATGTTTTTATTATCATTAAAAATGAGTCGCCCCCTCTGGCAGCTACACTGAGGAGGAGATTAACCCTCTTCTAGCGTTTGACTTAGACCCCCAAGTTGAAAACCAAAGGCCTTAGAGACTCACAAATCTATACAGGCTCATGAGCTTTTGTGGGCAAAACCCGCTTCCTCAGATGAGTTGGAAGGGAAATAATGGAACCCGAGAGAGGTATCTAGCCGCAGAAGCGTCTGTCAAGGGTAGGACCCGTGTTGATGCGACTGATGAAGTGGGAGAGATGAGTCCCATTCATCGTGTTCGATGTGAACGTGCGGATGTTAAAGGCAGGGGAAATTGGCTGTGTAATGCGCCCGCCCGGGTATTCTGGCCCAGGGTCGCCGGGTCAAACTTGTAGATGAATTTCCGTTCCACAGTCTCTCTCTGTAATGGGTGTGTGACATCCTTCTTGTAGAAGGATAGTTACTTAGTTGGCCAGGTGTGAGATTCGAGACGTTTGCAAAGCGTTTTTGCGTCCATGGCTGGGACATCTACCTGACAGATCCCAAATAATTCCTGTGTGTGTTGGAACTGAAATCCTGGCCTTTCAACCCTGCCTCTCTTCCCGACCAGGAATATTTGATTAAAGAAGGCAACTTAAGTCGAGGAGCCGTTAACATGATCGGCGACCTGATGGATTTAGACGGCGGCTTTCACCTGTCTTTCCTTGACTCAGTCATGGGCCATGTGACGTTCCAGCAAGGGTAAGCCAAAGCAAAATCTTTCCTCCCTTGCTGCAGAGGAGGAGGAACGTGTATCTCGAAGCAGGCACCAGGGAGCAGAGCTTCCTTAGTGGATGTCTCTAGCCATGCCGGGCAGGGGACACGCTCACGAGGCATAACTGAAAGTGGCCATCAGGGGGCTCTCGTGGGGAATTCAGTCATGAACTTCAGACCGAGAGTGTCTGTAATACCGATGCGGGTCCCCCGCTCTGGTCTGTTAAGGGAACCTTTGGGTTAATATGCAGCAGGTTGAAAGCAAACCAAAGGAAGTTTTTCTTCAGGCAGCATGTCATTAACCTGTGGAACTCCTCGCTGCAGGACTATGCCGTCAACCTGTGGAACTCCTCGCCGCAGGATGCTGTGATGGCCAGGACTTTAACAAGGTTCAAAAAGCACTGGGATAGGTCCATCAAGATGGGCCAGGCTAGTATCCCTAGTTTCTGTGTGTCAGAGCCTGGGAATGGGCACCAGGGGAGGGATCACGTGAGGATCTTACTTCCTTCCACTTTTCTCTTGGGTCAGTCCACTCCCTGGCCCTGAATTCCTTGGAGGCAGGGTGGTCCCGCCTGGGGTTAAACCATTCTGTGTTTCTCCACCCCTCGTTTAACTCTCCCCCATAAAGAAAGCAGGCAGGGAATTTCTATCCAATTCAAAGTTCCACCCTCTATCTCGAGTGGTTCTCCGGGCCCTCTGGCCAACACCTTTGCTAGGTACTTGCGTTAACCCCTTAGTCACCGGGTGCTAGTCAGCTCTCCCCCTATTCATGTCTAGGAAGGAGTCCGGCAGAAAGGGATCATAGTGGACCACAAGCTGAATAGGAGTCAGCAGTGTGATGCTGTTGCAAAAAAAGCAAACCTGATTCTGGGCTGCATTAACAGCTGTGTTGTGAGCAAGACACGAGAAGTCATTCTTCCGCTCTACTCTGCGCTGGTCAGGCCTCAGCTGGAGTCTTGTGTCCAGTTCTGGGCTCCGCATTTCAAGAAAGATGTGGAGAAATTGGAGAGGGTCCAGAGAAGAGCAACAAGAATGATGAAAGGTCGAGAGAACAGGAGCTAGGAGTGAAGGCTGAAAGAATTGGGTTTGTTTAGTTTAGAAAAGAGAAGACTGAGGCGGGACATGAGAGCTGTTTTCAGGTATCTAAAAGGGTGTGACAAGGAGGAGGGAGAAAACTTGTTCATCTTGGCCTCTGGGGATAGAACAAGAAGCAATGGGCTTAAACTGCAGCAAGGGAGGTTTAGGTTGGACATTAGGAAAAACCTCCTAACTGTCAGGGTGGTGAAACACTGGAATAAATTGCCCAGGGAGGTTGTGGAATCCCCATCTGTGGAGATATTGAAGAGCAGGTTAGATAAATGTCTATCAGGGATGGTCTAGACAGTATTTGGTCCTGCCATGACTCTCGAGGTCCCTTCCAGTCCTAGTATTCTATGATTCTATGATACCTTCTCTTAGCTACACCCGCTCATTCGAACCCTGGAAGACCGACAGCGGCCACTTTGCTCTTCCTCTGTAGTGCAGACGTACCCTCAGAGACCTGCAATTCTTCCACCGTCCTCTGCCCTCCATTCCTCCCTCGTCTTTTCTTTCAGGCTTGACGAGATCGTGAATGGCTTCGATCAACTCCCAGAAGCGTTCTATCGGTATATCGATCCAAAGGCAGACATCCGATTCCAGGCCCCGGTGGTGAACATAACACAAGACGGCAAAGAAGTGAAGGTGTTCTACCACAATCCAAGTACCTCTGTGCCCACGTTGAAGACGGCCGACTACGTCCTGGTGGCCACCGCGGCCAAAGCCATCCGGCTCATTAAGTTCTCCCCGCCTCTGTCACCCAACAAGACCCGGGCCCTGCGCTCCCTCCACTTCTCGAAGGACGTGAAGATTTTTCTGGCCTGCCGGGAGCGTTTCTGGGAGGAGAAGGACGAGATCTTCGGCGGGAAGTCGGTCACGGACCACCCGGCCCGAAACATCTACTACCCCAGCCACAATTTCTCCAACGGGGTGGGGGTGGTGCTGGCGTCCTACACAGGGGATGACGACGCAGACTTCTTCAACTCCCTCAGCGAGGAGAAGAGCGTGGACCTGGTGCGCGAGGACCTGGCCAAGATCCACAATCTCAACAAGAGCTACGTCCAGACGGTCTGCGACAAACACGTGGTCAAGAAATGGGGCGAGGACGAGTATTCCATGGGCGCCTACGTCTCCTTGACCCCCTACCAGTTCACCGACTTCGCCGCGGCGCTGTACCAGAACGAAGGGAGGGTCTACTTCGCCGGGGAGTACACCGCCCAGCCGCACGGCTGGATCGACACAGCCATGAAAGGCAGCATCCGGGCAGCCAGAGACATCCACGAGGCCATGGGCGCGACCCACGGCTGGCCCCGGGGCGAGAGGAAGGGAAATTAAGTGCTGTAACGGGGAGGAGGGAAGGGGAGACCGAGCAGGGAATTAAAAACCGTGCTGCTGATCCTCGAGCGACATTGTTCTGATTACTGGCGAGTAGCCACGTGGCGCCTTAGAGACTGACAGACATCGGTCCGTCCGTCTGTCTGTTATGTTCTCGCAATCTTTTTCAGGGGAGAAGGCAACTTGCTGTGTTTATTGGGAATACAGCAGAGAAGCAGTTAGCATCTGGTTCATAAACACACGCACACACGTGCGCTCGCACGCACACGCACACACGTGCGCGCACACACACACACGTGCGCTTGCACACGCACACATGTGCACTCGCACACGCACACATGTGCACTCGCACATGCACACATACGTGCGCTCGCACACACACCCCCTACAGATGGTGCGTAGTTTCCCGTCCGTCATGACTCACGTCAGACTTACTGGCCAGGCCAGGCTGACTGCAGGACCTGTCCCTCTCCCTTGGTGGGGTCTCTCCCTCTCTCCGTGGTTCGTCAGTGCTGCCAGTTCAATTCAGCCTCAATACACAAGGCATGTGTCACAGTTCTCACTTCTGGATCACCTGGGCATCCCCGCGGGCTGTCCCTCACTCCCCGTCTCCACTCACTCCACACACCTGCACCGCGTTTCCACCAAGACGCTAGTTACACAACTTAGTGCGTGAGGCAGACAAGGGGTACAACGTAATTTGCAAAGCTCCCAGCGAGCGAGGTCTGACAGTAACACCCACTACTCAAGAGAGAGACGGGAAGAGAAGCTACAGGACTGAGACGCGAGTCAGTAGACCACAGATCAACATGCATCATACTTGGCATCTTCTAACCAATGCGAAAAATTACATTTTAGCTACACGTCTGTTTATCTATCTCTCTCCACCCACCCCCTCTATCTAATCTATCTAATCTATCTATCCTCAGATACATCTATCTAGCTATCCCCACACACTCCCTCTATCTATCTATCTATCTATCTCCACACACCCCATCTATCTATCTATCTATCTATCTATCTATCTATCTATCCCCACACACCCCCTATATCTATCTATCTATCTATCTACCTATCTATCTATCCCCACACACTCCCTCTATCTATCTATCTATCTATCTCCACACACCCCATCTATCTATCTATCTATCTATCTATCTATCTATCTATC